TATAATACTATCTCCCTCGCTCTGTTACTTCCACCCCTCGTAATCGACCATCCCTCCCTCGACGCAAACCCAGTTCCTAGAGATCCCTGGAGGCGAGAGATTTGATACTTGGGATTGGCCAATGCATCACAGCCACATCGAGGGTGAGAATCTAATCTCTGCACGCAACACCACCACCATATCCCAGCCAAGTGAAGATTGGGAACCATGAGCATTCACGGTCATCGAGTGACAAGATGTGCGTATTAACACGTCTAATATAGTTGACTGATCCAGCTATTAAAGTGTCGCTCACCGACGGGCCGATATCAGGAAGGGCGCACACCTCTTATGCTTACATAGATCCACGCCGCGCCGATGCGACTATCCATACGCTCAACCCGAATCGGACCTAATATCTGGCATTCCCGGCTCGCCAGTAAGCGCTCCCACTGCCATTAGTCCACATGGGAGGGAGGATCCTTCTCCCCGAACCATGGGAAGATCGGCCAAGATCAGGAAGCGCAAGGAAGGCCGGTTCGGGGATGGTATCACGTCGGGGGCTGTGAAAGGTACTTCACAAGCTTCTCCTTCTAAGCGCAGCAGCCGTCCTCCTCCGGCGTCGAATACGTCTCCCGCGAGTCCTTCATCGTCGGAGGCTCTCTCCGAGATCGTCGCCGAGATAGTCGTCTGGACCGACGACATGAATACCAGCACACCTTCTATAGCTGGCGGTAGCGGGGAAGTCGACGAAAATATGTTGACAGCACCTCAGTATGTGAAAACCCTATTCACACTCCATTACGAAGAGCCAACCGCTATGTGATGAGGCTTTGTATTGTCTCTATCGTCACTGTCGTCACTACCCGTTTATTTGGTCCCCCCTTTCTCGTGATGGGCATGACCGTCTAATTCTCGCCTGTGTAGAGCTCCGGACCTCAAACCCTCACAAACATCCCAGCATGACGGCGAGCCGGAGCAGAACCGAGAGACTTTCGAATCCTCGCTATCTGCTTTGTCTGAGCACTCGGACCTATCCTCTGTGCCGTCCTCAGGGGCGTCTAGCAGGGCCACGACGCCCACTGAGAAGGATGAGTCTGCCCAGGCGACGGGGGCCACTTCGAGGACTCAACCTCCAGCGCTCCCAGAGGCCGAGCCTTCTTATACTGCACACATAGCCACGGCTACTGAGGCTGTAATCGCCGCGACATCATCTTCGCTGCAAGTCCCGCAGCCGACATCTTTATTCACAGAGGTCTCGACCACAACCACTCCAGCGCAAATCTCGCAGCCAACCTTTTCATCCACTAACGTCTCCACCACATCCACTCCGCTGCAGGTCCCGCAGCCGACCTCTTCTCTTACTGAACTCTCTACCACACCTACTCCACTCCAATCGGCAACACCCTCTCATGCTCCAACTCCCGCGCCTGCTGAGTCCTCAGTCTCAGGCTCCACCAATATATCAGCCTCTCCTGCCCCTCAAATTCGCTCCCAGAAACAATCGCCGGCCTCAACACAGCCCGAGTCAGCAGAATACCTAACCGCCCCGAGACGGAGGTTCAGCGTTCGACCTAAGTCCTCAATACCGTCGGATCTAAGTCCCGCCGAGTATGCCGGCCAATGCATAGAAGCGGCAGAAAACTCGAGACTCAACCCGTTCATATTACATCCCGAGGAGCGTGAAATTGTAAGAGACCACCTCTCATACGTGCAGGTGACGACATACATCAACATCAGGAACGGCATACTCCGGCTATGGATTCAGAACCCGCGCATGGCCGTTACCCGGGATGAGGCCGTGGGGTGTGCCGGTGCCAGGTGGGCCAATGTAGCAAGTGTATGCTACGACTGGCTCGTCCGCAACGGCTACATAAACTTTGGGTGTCTCGACATCCCCGCGGTAGAGGCTCCCAGCGGCACCTCCAAGCCGAGCATGCTTAAGCGGAAGAGGGTCGTTGTCATCGGAGCCGGGATGGCAGGACTCGGCTGCGCAAGACAGATCGAAGGGTTGACCAAGCAGTACGCAGATCGTCTATACAGCCTCGGCGAGCTGCCTCCGGAGGTCATAGTTCTGGAGGGGAGGAGCCGAGTCGGCGGAAGAGTATATTCCCGGCCGTTCCAGTCGAGGCCGGCAGAGGGGTCGCAGTTTGCCAGTGAGCGGTGTACAGCCGAGATGGGTGGCATGATCATCACCGGATTCATAGGCAACCCCCTAAACATACTCGTGCGCGGGCAGCTTAGCCTACCCTATTTTGCCCTCAATCCCCGGACAACAATCTTCGACTCGGACGGTCAGCCTGTGGAGGAGGACCGTGATCTCCTCGTCGAGAAGCTCTACAACGACTGCTTGGACAGGGTTAGCGAGTACAAGTTCAAGACCAAGCCCCCAAAGATCATACGGGGTAACAGGGAACTCATCCTCGAGGGCCGGGATGCGTCCAATGACGGGCAGAAGACCATCCGGGCCGAAGAAGAAGCTCAGCCCTCCCTTACACCCGACCTACTCGGCCAGGCGCAAATGCACGGGCAGGTAAAGGTCACCGCCGCGCAGGCCGCAAAGTCCATAGGATGGAGCCTCCGGTCCGGGGTATCGTCGGAGGATAGCCTTGACCTACAGACGCCGACGTCGGCGCCCGAGGCGACCCTCGGGAGCGTGGTCGACGCATGCATCTCTCAGTACCGGAATATAGTCGACCTAACGGACCGCGACTTCCGGCTCCTGAACTGGCACATTGCCAATCTGGAGTACAGCAATGCCACGAACATGCAGAATCTCAGTCTCGGCGGGTGGGATATCGACGCCGGGAATGAGTGGGTTGGTAAGCACACGATGATTGCCGGCGGCTACCAAAGGGTTGCGAGGGGTCTCTTGCACTGCCCGACGAAACTCGACGTCCGCACGAATACACCCGTACGGACGATAAACTACCATGCAGACGCGTCGTCTGGTCCTGCGACTGTTGTCTGTGAGGACGGGTCTGCAATCGAGGCGGACTACGTCATCTCTACGATCCCGCTCGGTGTCTTGAAGCACGGGGACATTGAGTTTAACCCTCCCCTTCCTGATTGGAAGTTGGGCGCCATCGAGCGACTGGGCTTCGGCGTGCTGAACAAGGTCATTTTGGTATATGACAAGCCGTTCTGGGACCTCACGCGACACATCTTCGGGGCACTGAGGAACCCCGAAAACGCTCAGAGCCTCGACCAGGCGGACTACAGGTCCCAACGCGGGCGGTTCTTCCAGTTCCTTGACGTCTCGAATACGTCGGGACTGCCCTGCCTAGTGGCTCTCATGGCCGGGGACGCAGCCGTCGACACGGAAAGCGCCTCCAACGAGGAGCTCGTGTCCGAGGCGACAGAGATTCTCAGCAAGATATTCGGCCGGAGTGTGCCGTTGCCAATCGAGGCAACGGTAACGAGGTGGCTGAAGGATCGCTTCTCAAGAGGGAGCTACTCGTCATCCGGGCCGACCATGCAACCGACCGACTACGACACGATGGCGAAGACGGTCGGCAACCTGTACTTCGCGGGAGAGCATACGATCGGGACGCACCCCGCCACCGTGCACGGGGCGTACCTATCGGGCCTGCGGGCGGCGAGCGAGATCCTTGGGTCGCTGATCGGCGAAATCGAGGTCCCCGCGCCGCTCCTGATCCCCAAGGAGTCGCAGTCCCTAAAGCGGAAGATCGTCGAGGTGCCCAAGGACCCGCTGGATCTCTACGAGGAGGAGCTCCACGCGCATATCATGGCGAAGATAGGGCCGCGGCCACCGCCGCCGGAGAAGGTGTCGGTGAACGCGTACAGGCTCTACTGCGCGGGGAAGCAGGAGGTGGCGAGGCAGCGGTGCGAGGCGGACATACGGCCCGGGAAGCGCAAGGGGAAGGCGGGACCGAACGAGGTGAGGCACATGGTGTCGAAGATGTGGAAGAGGGCGGCGCCGGGGGAGAGGAAGCCGTTCGAGGACATGGTGAGCGAGGCCAAGAGGGCGTACGTGGAGAGGTTGGCGATCTGGGAGGGGGGAGCGGCGGAGTGGGATGCGAGGGCGGCGGGGATAAGGGAGGAGTATGTGCGGGAGAAGCCGTTTGCGGGAGGGGAGGGGGATAGGGGAGGAGGAGGGGGCGAGGAGGGGCCGATGGCGAAGCAGAGGAGGAAGAAGATGATTAGCTATGCGGAGGACAGCGATGGGAGCGATGAGAGCGATGGGGAGGTGTAGTGTACTAGTAGTGACAAGAGTATATATCCCCACGCCTCCCCCTCCGGCGTATCCCGTATATATAGAAAGGAATCATCACTAGAATCGCTACAGGTTACTGTTTCGTTTAGGAGGGTGTTTCTGCCGTGTTTTTACTCCGTCGCCGGGCATCGGGTCCGGAGGCCGCGGCCGTCCATACCGGCATGCTTGTGGCCTCTCCGGTTTCACAGCAGTGATGCCTAATTCTAGCGAACTTGATCCAGTTGCACTACTCGCCGCGCCGTAATCGTACACGGCCAGCTATTTGCCCCTCAGCTAGGGACTATGTAAGGGCTGGGTACGTAGTTTCCCCGTTCTATCGAGGACAGGTCACAGTGGATATACGGGGGTGTTCTACAAGTATGGGCACTTTGTCTGTTGCTACTGTACTGGTGAGTGAGTGAGATAAGGTAAGGGTGAGCCTTTACATGTTTGTGTTTTCCGAGCGGTATGGTGATGGTGATGGTGACGAGAGATGCATGCGTTGGGCAATGTGCTACTCCTCGCGTCAAGAAGTAGGGACTGTCGGTCTGAGAGAGAGAGAAAAAAGAAAGAAAAAAAAGAGGGAAAAAGGGAGATGATACAATTTTGCAGGAAGTGGAAGTATGTCAACCACATGCTCCTTTCCTTGTATGCTGCTCCCACGAATATGTAAGCACCTCTACACATACATATATGTATGCGTATATTGTACGAACGTGTGGTGGCAGTGATTACAACGGACAGGACAGAGGCCCATTGCAGAATAGGAAAAAGGAAAGGAAACAAACGCAAAAAAAGAATTTGCTGCCCCAGGGAGGAATCGAACCTCCGTTTTCACTGCCACAAAGTGATGTACTAACCACTATACTACTAGAGCGCGCTACGGTGGCTGATGGTGCTGGGAAGACTCTGCGGAGCTTATCCGGCCTAGCACGGGGGTCGGTATTAAATGCAAGTTCAAGCCAAGTTGTTGACTCGCTCTTTCCCTTCACGACCTTGCATGGAATAGTATGTAAGAAGGGGGTATAAGTCCGTACTTTAGTATTCAGTTTTTTTCTTCGGTGCTCTCTCCTTGTGGGTGGCGCGGGGAAGCGCCGAGCCTTCTTCCCAATACGGCTGGCGGCCAACGGGAAGGAGGAGCGGGAGCAGTATTCAGTCGTAACCCGTTTTCCCTCACGTCGCATTTTGCAAGGGCGGGAGAGAAGTGGGATCGGCGAGAGGGGGAGGAGCCGAAGGAGTGCACCTGCAGGAGTGGAACTGTGCAAGGGGCGGCTTATTACAACTACTACCTACTTGTACGTGCAAACAAGAAAACGAGTCCAAGTACTCGTATGGGACGGCGGGTCTGGTCTGGAGAACCCCTGAGCGAGGGTGTATTGTGCGATGTTACGTCGGTGGACCTTTTTGGTCTGGGTGGGTTCCCGATGGTACGGCGCTGGGCAAAAGGAGGGGGGAGGTTCGGTTTAACTAATCCTTTGTATTCGGCCGGAAGGGCCATTGGCTGTGTGAGGTTGCCATGTTGGAAAACACATCATGTTCGTGGAGCCCAGAACGCAGAGCCCGGGACACGGGACACAGGGCACGGGGCATGGGGCACGGAGCACTTCGGCGCGGTCGAGGAGGTCATAGTGGCTGTGGTTCCCGTGACTGTCACATTCTCGATCCAGGACGTTTACACACTCGTCCCTTCGCATCCTCCTTTCTCTTCTTCCCCGGTTTCAGGCTGCCGATGGACCTAGACGAAACTGAACAACTCGTAGGCAGAGAGCCCAGGGACGGGGCGGCTAATCTCGTAAGAGGGGGCGGCACCGCTGGAACCAGAAATTAAGCTTTCGCGCCTTCATCCGCTACATGGCCGGGCCGACCTGATACTCGGGGTAGTCCCTCTGGGCGAGAATATGCTATGGTGTGGTAGAGGAAAAGGGCCGGGGAACCACACCTCCGAACCACTTCCGCCCCGAGATGGCTCCGTCTTCTGGGGTAATCTGAGCCTGCTGCAACACCATATCCGGTAGCCTGGTGGTTAATAATACCTTGGGCCAGCCCCAGCCCGCCTCTCTATGCTCGTATAAACCTAGTTGGTGCAGATACGAGTCGGGCCTTCGCAGGGAGAACGGCCTTGACATGCAAGGAGACGGGAGAATGCGCATTTACGGCATCCAAAGTTACATGGCACGAGATACAAGGGGGGCGGGGGGGGGATTGGATGGTGGTTTTGGGTGGGAGATTTCCTAATAAACCTTTTTTTCCCTCTCACGCAGCTAACGAATGTGGCTTGCAAACACGAGGCAACGGCCGCCGCAGATATCCCGCGCGCTCAGGCGCTTGATGGATGAACGGACACCCACCCCCACCACACCTCTCTCTCCCCACAGATCCGTGCGCGCTGGAGAACACCAGGCGGCGATGTATTATCTGCTCCCCTCAAGGAAGGAGGGGGGATTGAGCCGGAGTGTTGAGCCGCGAGGCTCCCTGGGCCGGCTATAACACCTGTTTTAAGAGCGATGTTATAGGCGGGGTGTGGTTTTCGTTCCAGGTAGACGAGAGGGAATCCGGGGAGAGGTGTATTGGATGGTTTCTCAGGTTTACGTGTCCACGTCTGCTTCCGAGAAAGGAAGAAACAAAGAGAATGGGAGACAGAAAATGAAAGAAGAAGAAGAAAACAAAGGGCAGTCAATGCAACAACGCTTTTCCTTCCCTGTCGCTGCCACATCCCGTCGGGAACAATTGTATTGTACTAGCCGCGGTTTAACAATATAGCAAACATCAGCGTTTGCACTTGCCTGCATTGCATTTTGCACACGTTTGTGTGCGGGTACGAGTAGGTGCAAGAGGGGAATTGAATACGTGATAAGGAGGAAGGGGGCTGCGGGGAGGAGGAGAGATGTCAAGATGGAGTAGTGAAGATGCGAGGGTAAGGAGTATTCTGCAGCTCTCTGCGGATTGCAGGTGAGAGAGGGAGCGGCTGAGGACCCAGGTGGCATGCAGCTGGGCGTTCCCATGGCCCAGTGTGCCGGTATGAGGCCGCGTGGTAGTGCTGCATAAGCCAGTATTTGTATCACGCCAACACCAACGCCCTTGGTAAGTTTTGCTCTCTTATGAGCACATATAATACTCGAGTCAAAGCACGAGAATACAGGTGCTTGGGCGTTTTCGTAAACGCCCTGGAACCAGTCATACTGCTCCCGACTCCTCCTCGCCTTCGTCTGGTGTTAGTTAACCCCATCGGTCGGAGAGAAAGGAACTTCGGTGGCGGGTGATCACCAGCTAACTCGCCCCGCTTCAATGCGCTACCACGTATTGTGGACGCACCCACTCTTCGTGGAATCCCTGTGCCCGCTTGGCGACCAGGGATGTTACTTGTAAGCGAAGGGAGAGCCCCACACCGCCACGCGATGTCCATGCATGGATATCGTGCAATGCTATCAAGGTTACTAGTATTTCAGAGTTCAGAGGAGAAAACTGGGTAGTATCCAGAGCAAGTAGTATGGACGAGTATTCCTGGTAAGAGACTAGGACCGACCAGGGTTAGATCAAGAAAGGGCTTCCCCCCAAAAGCTGGGTATGGGCCGCCGCTAATCGCCAGATGTTGATATCGTCTGCGTTTTCAAGTTTCACGAGGCTTCGGAGAGGGAACGGAACTGTTTCGTCCGTCTTGCCGTAGAGGAACCCAGCAGCGGGCACCGCGGCGCGGCTGTACGATAGTCGTTCGCCTGACACCGGGTGGCGAGAGGATTTATTAGTGCGAGAATGGGTACTAGAGTAACTATGGGGAATATCGTTCCAACTTCTTGCTTATGATAACTAGTACACACTTGAGCTCAGGCCAGCTCGCTTCGAATCTCTCTGGACCCGCCCTCGGCGGCGAGCCGAAAACAAAAGTCGGAGGTGGGAGGGGACAGGGGGAGGGTGAGGACAGGGAAAGGGGCTCTTCGAGCGAAATACTTTTTTTTCTTCTTCTCCGAGAACCACAAAAAGGCGCGCTTCACAGGAAAGAGAACTTATTCGGCAAGGGAATGTACTACGTACTCGTACTAGTAGAGAGCAATACTAGAGGTACCCACTCTTCCTTCAGCAACCGGCCGTGACCAAACAAACAAATGCCCATGGCCGATTCCGAGCGGACCCCGTCCCCGGAAGGCACGCTCCCCGCAAGATACCGAGGATAATAAAGGCGTAATCGCAATCGTAGGCGTAGGACCAGCTCCTGTGGCGGTCACCTCATATACAGGCGTAGATACCGTAGATAGCAAATGCATAATGTCTTGCTCGAGGGCATGACGACGCGGTTCGCAGATCGGCGCGTTGTTGTCTGCTAGTGCTTAGCGTCTATTATGCGCAGCACCAACGGCGCACTGGGATCTTTTGTGTTCCCATGGGGCTTCTCGTACAAGTACTCGTACGAGTACTGTGCTACTGTTATTTGTATGTTCTATCCGTGCTTTTGTACCCGTACTGGTACTTGCACAACTGTCGGGTGGGTCCTTCCAGGACCAGACTGAGAGCTCCTCCTCCACCTTGCACCATCCACGCTGCCCGGGCTCCACCAAAAGAGGTTTGCGAGAGAAAAAAGAAGCAACGACAGATGCGTGAACTCGCAAGGGGCAAAGGGCTTCCTGGCTTATCGGCTGCCTGCGAGGTGCGAGTCACTCCTCATTGGCGTCAGGCGTTTTGGGAGCTGTGGGCGTTCGACGCCACAATGCATGCAAATATAGTGCGCAATATTTGGACTCGGACAGCTTCCCCGGAAAGCCGCAGTAAACGTTTCTGGAAACGGTGGTGAGTGGTGGCGGCGAGTAATACCTGGAGGTGGAAATGGACGCGGTACCGTGCCTACGAGTACTCGGTATTTTATCGCGCAGTCTAACGTACTCGAGGATCCACCGACGCGAGAATACTCGAACAAATACATGCTCGCATGAGCTCATGGAAGAGTGGCCGAGTATGGAAGTACAGGTCGCAACCACCCACTCGCACCTTCCACGGCCCAACTAGCTGAGGAGAAGCACCTCCCCTTGCGTATACGAGCAAGTACAAGTATGCTAATACGTAGCACAAGTAATTATTACTAGTCCACAAGCAAGTACTACAAGTATCCCCCCCTGCCATTCCCCCTGCACCGTGCCTTCCACCAACCCCACCCAAGCCGCTTCCAAGTTGAGCCTACACTACCATAGGCTCCCCTGTACCTGAGGCTATACCGCATCGAGGTCCACCGCAGATCGGCGGGTCCCAGGTCGAAGGAACAATACGACGTAGCTCGTGCGACCCCGGCTCGCCGGGGAAGCTTTAGCTCAGGGGCGAAATCTTTGTGTGGAAATCCTTTTGGACAATGGGGCATGGGGCATGGGGTATGGTACGGGGCGCACTACTACGTTCAAGTTTATCATCAGCTATCTCACGCTAATACAAGTATGCCCATCCTCTTCGACGTCACCCTCGTCTTTTTTGTTCTGATCCGCTCCCGTTCCAGCTTCCTGTTCGAGAAAGGCTCGTCCTTGGATGGATCTCACATTGCTGGTCTTCGTGCTCGTACCCGCGCTTCATACCCGATACTAGCGCGCAGGCCTTATACCTACGAGTACTCATATACTAGAAGTACACTTATATGTGGACGCTGGCACTCCATCACGTCCGACTCCGCTGGTCGCCGGGTTTCTCTTCTCTCTCCTTCATCCGTCCCGTCCAAAGCCAAGTGTCGGTCGGTGTCTGGTAAAACCGTCGCAAACCTGGAATTTCGCCGGCTGGTCTCCCGCCAACTGCAACCCAGACTCCGACTACGACTCCGACGCCGACGCCGACTCGGTTTGATACTCTGGAATACCACCATTACCGCATTAACTCATCCACCAACACGCAGTACATCACCAAGACGGG